ACACACACACACACACACACACACACACACACACACACACACACACACACAAACACACACACAGGAGCAAATTTTTAGGCCTATATATCTATTTCAATTTTCAAGAGATAGTCTGGCTAGTCTAGAGATTTTTAGATGAGTGTAAAAACGTGAAAAAGAAAGGTTTCACAACAGAATGAAATCAAAATTAGAACAGCCCATAAACAACCACAAAAATTAACAAATAAGGGCGTGAGTCCATCTGTCCGAAGAAGATTCACTATTTTAACACTTAATGAGCGTAATTTTAAAACAAAGTACAGGATATTACAAGTAAATTATGGAATAACACACATTTAAGGGGCCTGCCAGTGTCCAGTACATGTGATCGGTTTTGGTGGAACGTACTCTCTAACATAACACATTTAAATCTATATATTTATACATGTATATATTTAGAATCTAATGAAGGTAGGAACATCAAATTAAATGACGTTACACTATATAACCCCCCCCCCCCCTTTTCCCCATAAAAAAAACATTGATAGAAAAACAACACATCAGAACAATAACAAGAAAGAAAAAAATACACACTAACAAAATATAACACCACAAAGAGGGAAAAATAAAAGTAACTGTAACGTATTCAACAAATCAACGTGGTGACAACAAGTGAGAAAGAGACGAAGTGAAGCTAGGTGAACTTTCTTTCAAAAGTAAAGAGGTTCGGTTCCTTTCTTTCTTTTTAATTTGACTTTCATCCTCCGATTTGGGGACCAAAAAATGCCAAAAAGTCGAGCCACGATTGATTGGTCGCAGCCGCAACAAACGCAGATATCTATGCTAGTTCTATGTGTCGTTATCAATAACCCTCCATAGATCTAGACTAGACAGCACACGAGTGAACACAACACATTAAGTTTAACTTAAAAGCAGCACCCTTCATAGACAACACGTCATATCTGTAGCGAAAAACTGTTTGGAACTGTAGCGTTTCTTTATAAATATTTACTGCGGACATTTTTTGACCGATTGAACCATATTGTATACGAACAATCTTTGGTAGGCCTATACTATAATTATTTATAGATCTATATAATATCCGAAATTTGCGGAAAGGATGTGATTCCAGAGTGTTCGGAGAAATAGTGCCCAGCTTTATTTTCCCGAACGTTCGGAGAAATAGTGCCCAGCTTTATTTTCCCGAACGTTCGGAGAAATAGTGCCGGCTATTAAATTATGTAAACAAAAGCGCTCGACCACTTGGAAACAGAAAACAATCAGTTTACTTACAGTAAACTCGGAAAAAAACCACTTCGTAGAGCAGAACAAAGAACTTAAAGTCAATAAGGAACAGTTCATATTTGGTTTGAACGGCAGGAAATGGTACATTAGATGTTAAACTGCATTCATGACAAATACCATTTCAGAGGTGAAACTACAACATGCGCAACTCACAAAACTATTTGTATGTTCACATATTCATGCGCACTGGGTTTTCCCGAAACGGCAATAAAATTCTCTTTCTGTTGGTATATAATATGTGAGGGTTCCCGTGGAAAGAAGTGTCTATCCGATTGAGTAAATATTCCCCCTGTTTGTCTAAAAATTCAGCGTAATGTGGCGACGATATGTCCTCAAAAATAATTATTTTAAAATATTTTCAATCACTTTTGAGCAAATTTCTTAAAACATATGATGTAGAAATGGTCTATCTTTCTGAATTTCATATAATTTCGTTTTCGATGAAAATGAAGTTCAAGGCCTATTTTTAGCGATATCTCAGAATAGCTTCTCGCACCTCGGACGGGTTTTCCCAGAGACGCTCACAATATGCGTGCAAGTTTAAGTCGTTTAAGTCCAAAAGGGAAAACATGAGAGAGAGAGAGAGAGAGAGAGAGAGAGAGAGAGAGAGAGGGGGGGAGAGAGAGAGAGACAGACAGACAGACAGACAGACAGACAGAGACAGACAGACAAACAGACAGACAGAGACAGACAGACAGACAGACAGACAGAGGTGAGGTGGAAGTACGAGGGAGAGCAACTCATAATACCGTTGAAATGAACTGTATAACGCTTTGGCCTGCATTATGACCTGAAAAATATCATAAAAGGCGTATTCGTGTGAAGTGCCTTCATTGCTTTCCTGAAGTTTCAGCAATTTCCAGATATTTCCCTCAGTGGTTTGATTTTAAAGTGCTTTTAAACTAGCCATTATCAGATTTTCTCGAATATTTGCACACCTTTTTTTAAAATGACAGACCATACAACCCTGAAAATCGAAGTTTTATAGCACTCATAATTTCATAATTTTTGCTAAATCATGCTGTACTCCTGCTGAGGTAATAATAAATATAGCATTATGCTGCGCATTTCCATTATCTAAAAAATGCTCAATGTGCATTACATCAAAAAGACATTACTTCTTAAAAATTAATCGACATGTGTGTACGTAAAACACAGGAGTATGCAAAATATAATATTTATTTCTATATTTCTGTATAAAAATCTCTTTGAGTAAAACACTCTTGCAGTGAGCTTGGCAATGCGTTCACTTAAAAATATACAATGCAAATTTAACCAACGGTCACGATGAAATAGAAGAAACATTCATTAAAACATTCGTTCTCTATAAATAGAAAAACAAGTCCGTTTTAACTTTTTGTTGTTGTTGTTGTCGTTTTTGTTTTGTATCTGTTTTGTTTCGGTTATATGGGTTGGGGGGGGGGGGGGGGGGGCCCTCTTGAACATTTTTAAAAAATGGGAAAAACCCACCCATACTTTTTTTTAAAAAAAAAATCCCGCATTAAATTCCCCGGGCCTGGTGAAGGGACCCCTCCCAAGCCCCCCCCCCCGGGGCAACATCCAGGCCCCTTGTGGCTTGGTCAGGGCTGACGTGCAGGTTGACAACGGTCAGGGAGTAAAGACAGGCAGGGTCTGCTTTGAGAGTGTCTCTTCCTTTGTTGTCACAACAGGTACTGTTTCTTTTTTCTTCTTTTTTCTCTTTTTTTTTTTTTTTACTATTCAACCGAACGTAATAGAAAGGTCGATACAAAATTATGCCCCCTCCCCCATCTCTCTCTGTCTCTCTCTCCCCCCCCCCTCTCTCTCTCTCTCTCTCTCTCTCTCTCTCTCTCTTCTTCTCTCTCTCTCTCTCTCTTTCTATCGAACTGTCTGTCTATGTATTTTGGTATCTATCTATCTATCTATCAATCTACCTATCTATCTATCTCTCTCTCTGTAAATCCAGACACGATCTATCACTCTCGCTCTCGCTCGGCTTCACATTTTCTAACACAAGCTATGTATGCGCCATTTCTCTCAAATATATCACTCTCTATCTCTCTC